TACTGAGGCAGTGTATTGGTGGCATGAATTGAGACTGAATAGGAAGTGGGTCTCGAGCAAAATAGTCGACATCAGCCGTTTAATTATTGGAGGCAGGGGGAGGGGAGGTGGGAAAGAGGTAAAAAAGACTGAAAGGAATGATCTTATGAAGGGAAAGAGCTAAAGGGGGAAAATGGGGAGTTGTTGGTGGGAGGAGAGGGGAGGGGGGTCTAAAATATCGTATATATTAGTGGTTCAAAACGCAAGCCTTCGGGCTGGCGTTCAATAAAATGTGGAAGGTTTGGATCCCTAGAACTCAGGATTCGAGTTTCACTAATTATAGGTTTTATCTCACTGAAGTATACTGTTTGATTTTGCAGGCTTTCCTTGGTTATTTGGGACCTCAGGAAGAACAATGGAAAGCGTATGATTCAGTGGAATTGATCAAAACTTACAGTGGTCCACCACGCGAAATACTGATCGATCAAGGCACGGCTGATGAATTTTTGGCGAAGAAACAGTTGCTGCCGGAAAATTTGCAGAATCTAGATAATGATAAGGTATGTTTCGTGAAACCGATGCACATCTATCGATTTTGTAAGATCTCTACTTTTTGATTTATGTATATAAAATCACATGAGCACTGGGGTGGCCTTCCAAGACACATCAAACGGGCAGTGAACAGGAATGGGAGGTGCGAGGCTGAGAATCGAAGGGCCTGGCATAGCTGCTGCCGAGTTGTGCATGCATTTCTGCAACATGGGATTCCCACATCGATTGCCAAAGACTTGTCTCTGGTTTATTTTCGGGTTTGCCTACTTCTCCAGTTATTTTGTGCAGTGCCACATCATTGGGTGACCATATTTGTTGGTGACTTCATAGTTCGTGTTGTATACCAAAGAAATTACCAAAATGTCTTGAAGTTTTGTAAAAATTTGGACAAAAACAGGAACTATCGTAATTGAACTTGGATAAATTTTTAAGTAAAATTATTTTTAATTTTTATTTCAGTAAAATTATTTTTCTCACTGTTGGTCCAAGAGAAATAAATTATTATTTAATGAAATTATTTTTTTCGTTGTTGGTGCTCCAGGGCAGTTCAGTTTCAGTGTTTAGAATTGACTGTCCCTTGTTTATCCTGGAATAAGTTCTTCTCGTCTGCCAATTAAGTCGTTAAGATCTATTTGATTTCAGGTAAAGGTCAAGTTGAGATACCAGGAAGACTACGATCACTCGTACCTCTTTATTGCGACGTTCATCGAAGAGCATTTTGCATTTCATAGTGGAATTTTGTCCCAAAAGATTCCTGACAAATAATCACGATCTTACTTGTGTATAATCGTGATATTGGCAGCACTTCAGTATTTTCATGCTATAGGATCCAGTCATTGTCGCTTCGTATTATTTGTAGTTATGCAGCTCAAGGTTGAAGAAGCTGGCACGAGTGCAACTTGCATGTAGGATCATCCCGATATCATCACTAACATTAGGATATCTGCTTCGGAGCAGTTCTTTTTTTTTTGTTTTGTGTATATTTGCTTGCTTTTATTTTTGCTATGCTGTTGTAGAATTTCGTTTATGTTAAACTGCAGAATGCATTTTTTTCGTTGTTTGGATGTTTTGAATTAGAAAATTAAAAAAAAAAGCAGGATTTCGTGGCAGAGCTACCGATGCTTACACACACCTTGGATTGACAGAGTTTTGCGTTAATAAACAAAGTTTTCCCACGAATTGTTGTTACTTTACTAGAAGAATGGAATATATGGAAAGTATATATAATTAGTGATGCATGTAACTTGTACTCCAAGCTTCTTTCTTGCAAAAAATTTAGGAAAATTCGAGGACTCGAAAGTGTAATTTTAGGTAAAGCGGATCAAGCATTTCCGGAACAATTTTCTATCAGACAGGTACACTTTCAGCCAAAACTTCCCAAATCCGGATCAACAAGTCACCTGGAGAAACAAAAAGCAACAAATGCCAGACTAGGGAGAGTTCCACTGAGAAATGCATACAGGCACTGCCTGGCAATAAACCATAAGTGATGTTTAACAACCATCAAGCCTAATACAGTCTTATTAGACATCTTACTGCGGTGCAGTACCAGTCAAAGAAACTGGAAAAATTACTAGATGCACAGGTTGGAGAACCACACTGTGAATTAACAAGCATCCCTGGTATATTCGGGAGCACAGATGATAATCCAGAAACGTCGGTAGAATTTCCCACGAAGAGAATTGGTTTTGGATATTTATGGAGTTAGAGGAAGCAAGTTTACCACATCAAGTGCGCCAAAAAGTTGAGAGTTGAGTCTTGAGATCCTCAAGATGTGCGAAAAAGAAGGTAAAAAGACCGGTAAAGTTAGGAAAATGGTGAGATAAGACATTTTGGTCCGTTGAATCATGAACAGAAGTTAAATTAAGCGTATGCTGCCCTCTTTATTTATGCTTAATGAGGGAGATTCAGTTTCAGTCCCTGGTTACATTGGTACCAAACGGTTTCTATGGGTCCATTAAATTTTTTAGTTGGCTCGAAATTTTAGTTGGATTTACTGGTTTTTTTTTTCTTAGCTGGATTTACGCCTGTATAATTAGAAAAAGATAGAAAATAAAGAATCATGGAAGGATCAATTGCAAAATTTTGCTGTAAGGGATTAGTTCATAGCATTCACGTCAGGCCTGGATGCATTAAAAGGCGGTGGAGACCCCCTCCCTTCCTCGCCCTTGTGTTGCACACGGATTTTAGCTTTATTATGTGTAGATAGTTTTAGTCGGCATGATCATAGGCGGATCCAGAACTGACTCCTGGGCAACAAAGAGCGGGGAGAGGGGGAGAAGGAGTGGGGCTTCTGGGTCCCTTGTCACCCTGGAGTCATGTAAAAGCTAGGAATAGAGTTGTAACACACTGATACTTAGAGTTACTTTAGTTCAGAGTTGCTTTAGGCTTTAGTTTTAGCTTTAGACCCGGACTTTTGCAGCACTGGTGTCTGGCAGCTGGGAGAACCTATCGCTTCCCCCTTCCCCCCGCTTTGGATCAGCCTATGGACATGGTGATTAAATAACGCTGCTTTTGTACTGGAGGTTAATGTTTCGACTCCGCTACTGGGATAATCATTCCTCCCTGTTCATTTTGAACTGATCCTGACAAATGCTAGCTAATCAAACTCGCCATCAGCTTGCTTCTAAGCATCCTCTGAAAGAGGGGGTCATCGATGGCTCTTTGCCAACGAGTGGTCGCTGTTGCTCTTCTAACCACGGCGGTTACTTCCCAGTGCCTTTGCCTTAAACAGAGAGTAGATTCTTGAGGCATATAATTTCTTTTTCCTTTGCATGAGATGTCAGCAAATACCGTGAGATAGAAAAGGATGAGGCAAAAGGGCGAGTAAAAATCGATAAGCCGACGAGGTCAATTGCACAGGGTGTACTTACGGATGTACAGAAGGAGGCTCAGGTGACCTAGGCTGAGGGGCAGGAGGGGGTCAGCGGTCACATCCATCCGACAGCCGCTGGTGCGAAGACGATCGATCGGCGCCTGGGCCTCGATTCTCTCGGATATTGCTATTTCACTGTGACACACAGCCGTCACTCGCCTACACATTCAGCTACTGATTCCGTCCGTATCCGGTCGTTCGTTCGTTCGGTTGTTTCGGGTGTGTGATTGCCGCGCGTGATGGCCGCTGCTGCCTCATCGCCGTGCGAAGATGAGGTGCTCAAAATTGGGCGCAAATTCGAGCGAATGATCCAGGGCACCAAAACAGTCAGTTCTCTTTTCACTTTCTTTTTTTTTGTCTTTTTTTGGCGTTTGCGGATTGGCTAGCTCTTTAAGTGTATC